ACACACACTTAAAATCTGGCAGCCCATTGCTTTGTATCTCAGCAGTTTGTTCTAGACACTTCAGTCTTTAAAAATAATACCTCAACTTCATTACTAAGGGAAAAGCAAGCCTGTGGTAGGTGTATCCCTGACAGTGAAAGCTGATATCAAGAAATTAAACTTCCCCAGAATGTACTTATCTTCCCTCTTTCATCTATTGATCCCTACTGATAGGGCAGAGGCTATGAAACTGGCTGTTCTTTATAAAAGACTGTCTTCTTCAAAAAACTTTAGCTATTTACTTTTTGAATGCTATTTTAGCACTTCTCTCCACGTACGTTTGGACTCCTTTATTGATTTTGATGGGACAAATTCCCAAAATCTTAAGAGCTCAGTTTGGTGTAAGAAACCCCTTGCATCTTGATGCTTGGCCATATTGCTTTACTTCCAAGTTTAGGGCTTAGTTTAGAGCTGCTTATTATTATTGTAAGAGTACATTTACCGTTCTCAAGTGTGGTGGGTTGACCCTGGCTGGATGCCAAGTGCCCGCCAAAGCTGCTCTGTCACTCCCCTTCTCAGCTGCACAGGGGAGAGAAAATACAACAAAAAGCTTGCGGGTTGAGATAAGGACAGGGTGAGATCACTCAGCAATTATCATCATGGGCAAAACAGACTCGACTTGGAGAAAATCAGTTTAATTTATTACCAGTCAAATCAGAGTAGGGCAATGAGAAATAAAACCAAATCTTAAAACACCTTCACCCTACCCCTCCCTTCTTCCTGGCCTCAACTTCACTCCCCATTTTCTCTCCCTCCTCCCCACCAAGTGGTGCAGGGGGACAGGGAATGGGGGTTGCGGTCAGTTCATTGTGCGTCGTCTCTGTCGCTCCTTCCTCCTCTGGGGAGGACTCCTCACACTCTTCCCCTGCTCCAGCATGGGGTCCCTCCCACGGGAGACAGTCCTCCAAGAACATCTCCAACGTGGGTCCTTCCCACGCGCTGCAGTTCTTCATGAACCGTTCCAGCATGGGTCCCTTCCACGGGGTGCAGCCCTTCAGGAGCAGACTGCTCCAGCGTGGGTCCCCCACGGGGTCCCAAGCCCTGCCAGCAAACCTGCTCCAGCATGGGCTCCTCTCTCCACGGCTCCACAGGTCCTGCCAGGAGCCTGCTCCAGCGTGGGCTTCCCACGGGGTCACAGCCTCCTTTGGGCACATCCCCCTGCTCCGGCGTGGGGTCCTCCCCGGGTGCAGGTGGATCTCTGCTCCCCCGTGGGCATCCATGGGTGCAGGGGCACAGCTGCCTCACCATGGGCTGCACCAGCGGCTGCAGGGGAATCTCTGCTCCGGTGCCTGGAGCAACTCCCGACCCTCCTTCTGCACTGACCTTGGGGGCTGCAGGGTTGTTCCTCTCACATGTTCTCACTCCTCACTCCAGCTGCAGTTTTGTGTCCCGTTGGGGTTTCCCCCCTTCTTAAATATGTCATCACAGAGGCACTACCACCATTGCTGATGGGCTCGGCCTTGGCCAGCAGCTGGCTGGCATTGGCTCTGTTGGACATAGGGGAAGCTTCTAGCAGCTGCTCACAGAAGCCACCCCTGTAGTCCCCCCTGCTCCCAAAACCTTGCCATGCAAACCCAATACATCAAGCTGTCTCCTGACATTGCATTAGAAAAATAATTCCTCTACTGCACTGCCCACAAAACCTTACCTACTATATAATGTGTGTGCCAAGACCAAGCATTTGGTAACATCTTCTTTGGTTTCCCCTTAGCATTATGGTGAAGACCTGTGTAGTAAAAACAACTGTTTGCACAAAGACCCTCTGAAAAGCAGTCGGACCATTGCTACAAAACAAAGAATGTTCCTGAACTCTTTAAGCTGGTAGCATCTGTTTGAATTGCACATATATTGGTGTGCCCTGCCTGGTACAGGCAGAGCAGCTCCAGCCAGGCTGCTCTCTGCTGAAGGACATCACCACAGCGGAAAAGGGAGAACAACTACGTCAAGGCAATTCAAACAAAAGCCTTAATTTAGTAAAATTGTCTGAACTCTAACACTGTCTTTGAGTACACTGTGCAGATGGCCCACTGTCAAAATCTGTATCTCACTCCGCTAGCTGAAGCGGTAATAGCTTGAAAGTACTGTTTGAGATAATGAACATGACAACATCCCAAGATACAGGTCACAGCCCCATTTGTGTCTCGAGGCTCTAAAAATCTGCCGTCTGTGAATCTGTTACGGCTGCAAGAGCTGGGCATAGTGTTTCACCTGGGTGAAAGCCTGCCTCATCCTACCGGCGCACACGGCAGCTTGTTTCTTCTGCGGCTCCACGTTCCAGACTGCACCTCGGGGATGCTTAAAACTAATTTATCATCCAACTAGGCACAGCATGGGCTTAGCAGCAGAAAGGGCTGACATCTCTACTTTGGTACAGGGACCGCTTTAAAGTTGCTGCCACAGATTAAAAGGAGAAACCGAGCAGCGATAGAAGCTTCTCCACATTTTCAGACTTGGAGCCTGAGCACACAGGGGCATCCGAGGCACGCGTTCAGCCCTGTCCTCACACCGCTGCCTTGAAACGTTACAGGCTCCTGTGTACCACCGCGGAGCCTTGCCAGATGAGAAGTGGACTAAAAGTCTTCCATTCTCCTCTTTCTCTCCTAGCTTGATTTTGTGTGGAAAAATACAGAGAAAGGAAGAGATAGGATAAAAGGGCTCGAAGACCACATCAGAAAAGTGATTACCGACACATGGAAGGGGATGGAAGGTCCTGAAGCAAGTTCACCAATTCAAACAAGTTTCACACCTTTTTTTTTTTTTTCCCCAAAATTGGCATGTAGGCAAATCTCCTTTTCCTAAAGTTAAAGTTATTGTAAAAGTACCTGAAGACAGCTTTGTAACTTATGTTCCCTGTCAGAGAGAATACCTGCAAAACTAAACACTATTTTATGTTAAAATGAAGACAAAAAAATATACCTACACAGGAACTTCACGCTTACTGGGCTCTACCTGTGCACTAACTCCTGCCAGGTGAGAGAGGAATTGCTTGAAAAACCTTAGTGCTGCCCACAGAAACAGGCGTGTTTTCTGCCAGAACCATAATGCACTCCTGCACTCATAAACACTGCAAATCAACTCAAACCAAAAGTGTGTCAGAGGCAATTTCAGCACCTTTTCTGTATAATTCCAACAGCAGTAAAGTCAGCACTGGCTTTGACCTTCAATGGCACGCCAGCACTTCATGAGATACTCATAGTAGCTCATCAAGCCTATTTTATTTTGCATTTTCTAAGGTAATGTGAAATATTCTTCTGCAAACTAAGTGCATATACACACCTTGACTGCTTTACAGGAAGAGTGTTTAAAGTAAGCACAGTGTAATTAAATGCCACACAGTGAATCTATTTTGTGTACTGCAGTCTTAGACAAGGCTGTTTCTAGCTATCAAACATTTTTATGTCTTTTACAGACAGAGATTAAAATAGGCTTTAACATAATTGGAAGCAATGATCTAATACTTTCAGCTTAAAGGCAGCATTATTGTAGCTATAAAATAGGTGAGAACACATTTAAATGCCGAACAGAACAGGTTTGTTAACTCTTGCTCAGGTTAAAAGTACTAGCGTGTTTAAAAGACACACTTATTTTTTTATAAGCCTATATAAAATCACCAATGTAATTAAAAATAATAGTCACCGAGTCCCTTAAAAATGTTCAACAAGTGAAAAACTTAGGAAGATAAAGTTTTGCCTGGATCACAGAGTTTAATAAGAATCAAACAAATGGTAGAAATTTCTCATGTCATTTATATTTGATACAAGTACATATACACTAGCGTGTGGGCACTTACAAAAATATAAATAACCCCCCCTCACATTTTCTTTAACAGCAATTCTTTAAACGTAGCATAAGAACATTTTACTGAATGCTTATGTACTAGGCATTATAGGAAAGCAGTATAGTAAGAAAGCTTTGTATTTGAACTGAATTACTATTCATATTGAGGCCTTTGCTTGAAGCCAATACAACTGCCAGTAATCACACTAGATGCGAGACAGGCCTGCTGTTAAACTGCACAGTCAACATCCCACCTCAGTGTGCTGGTTCCAAGCGGAGAAAAAGGATAAGAAACTAATATAAACTACCTGTCAGAAAATTTAGTGGATCATAACTCATTTTCAACATGAATGAGAACAATGAAAACAAGTCACTTTGCAGCAACCCAGTATCAAGGTTAAAACTATGGATTTCTTTCCCACTCTCTATGAGCAGCATTCAAAGGAACAGTTCAGGTTTAAACCCAGGAAAAGTAGAGAGGTGTATACAGAGACTTAGCCTGAAGTTTTAGAAGTCTCAGTTTCACATGGAGGCCTCCAAAGACTACCTAAACATACCTGACTGGTACAATCCAAAGATCCCACATAAGATTTTAACTTCTCAAGCTGAAAACAGTTCTTACAGCTTGACAAGTCTGTGATCAGGCCCCTGAAATCTGTAGCACTCAGTAAAACAACACTGCTCCCTGCCTTTATTGCTAACATCCAAAACCTCCTGAAACTCAGCAAGTGTTAAATACCCTCAGGTTGCTGCATGGGATTGATCTGCCCTGATACTTAACAATGTAAAACACATGCGCTAGTCCTCCTTTTGTAAGCAGCAGGCATTTCTAAAATGCTGTTAGTCTCATAAATAAAGGCACCTAAAATGGGTCATAAATCACTTCCTGGAAGTTTTTTTACTTCTTTTCATCAACAAGAAGGGGAGCCTTAAGTGACCAGACTAGATTTTTTTTTTTTTTGTCCAGAAATTATCAGAGGAAACCTACGCTAAAGATGGATAAAAGCTAGTGTTTTGTACAAATCCAGATCCACACCAGAGGCTGCTGTGATAAGAAAGGGATTTGGAAAGTGGAGGTAGGCAGACTCCCAGGAAGCAAGCTATTTCAGAAATTCTGGACGTGTACTGAAGGACCAGGGTGGTGGTGGAAAAAAACATTTATAATGAGGAAAAAGATACGCAGACAGTTTTCTTCAGTTTAATATCAGGTGGTGTTATAAACTGCTAAAACCAGACATCTTCACATTATTACACTTGATGCACCATAAAACAGGCTTATGTTACAGTGTAAGATTCAGTATTATAAAACTTGCAGAGAACTTCACACAGAAGTCTTTATTTTTTACCCCTTTTATTCACATCCAAACCCAACAATTCTTATCTGTGTACAAACGGAGTATTTTCTTCCATCTTCTACAGCTGCTTTCCAACCAACCAGTTCTAAACATCAATACCAACACTGGCAGTGGGACATCAACTAGGAAGTGCCACCACGGTCATTGGCTCAAGACACACACACTTCTTGCTGGATAGCTGGCTGGGGAATTTTACTATCTTCTGTCTTCTCCTGCCCAGGAACTTGGCACACAGTCTTTCGTTTGAATAACCGTAGACTCAACCGTAACAAGTCACTGTCCATTGCTGCAGAATTTGTGTAAGTTTGTTTTGTTGCACCCTGTTGAAATTAAAAACGAAAAATAAAAAAAGAACGAACTGAAAACAGTGGCTTTTAACATGCAAGCTGAGAAATTAACCTCAAGTACTCTCAATAATTAGAGGTTTAATCATACATATTCACTAGAAAAGACTTTGAGAATTAATGATTTTTCTGTTAGCATGCAAGATCATAAAACCTACTGTAGTGCAAAAAAACTGGCTAAAATACTTTTTTCTTTCAATTTTAACTTGGAAGAACAGAATCTTACAATTCTTATAAAAGTACATGGAATCTTGAGCAGGAGAATTATTCAACAATTGTCTTTGAAATTGTATTTTAACCAATTATTTTTGTTATGTATTCTCTAAATACATCTCCAGAATTCAAACCCCAAAATGAGAAACACCACCTACCTCTAGTCTCCATCTTAAGTTAATCTCTCATCCTAAGCAAAAAACAAACACCCTCACCCTACAACCTCCTTAAAGTCTGTTCTCTATTATTTAAAGGACTAGGTCTACTCCAGAACAAACACAAAAATTATCTCCCTAGAGAAATGCTTTGCATAGCGGAATCTATGTTTCCACATTTTGCCCAAGCACTGTAAATAAACCACTTGCCTTTTCATTCTTCATTAGCTGCTTACGAATTGCAGAATCCCTTCGAAAGCACAGTGCTTTACAGCAAGGACCCAGATTACTGAGAAGACCTGCTCTCTCTTCTTTTCGTAGAAGTGCAGCCATGTTCAAGGCCCCCAGTTCATGTTCAAAAAGGCTTTCTGCATCTAGAAAGAATTGATATTTGCAGAGATCAACATATACATGGTATTTATGAACAGCAATATACAGTAGTATGAAAGTCCTTAAAGTTTTACTATTTGTATTTCTGCCTTCTAAACAATGTCAAGGTTTGGGAAAAAAAAAAGAAGGATATTGCAGTTTATAAAAGGAAAAAAACTAATAAATCCTTCACCATTTAAAGGGAAGGGCAGGTACCCTTGTATGTAGCTTCAGCACTGGAAAGCAATATTGAGACAGCAATCACTGAGAGGCCTAAAAATCAAGCAACAGCTCTGGGACAGAAGAGGGGGTATCGTTTATGGTCAGACATGTGTGATGAAACATGTTTACTACTAGCGATAATCAGGAAGTGGTCTGTTTCACTTCTCCGCAAGACATCAGATAACTGTACCAGTGTCAACACAGGGTCTGTATGGCTATGCAGAAGCGAAATATGACGACGTAGATAATTCTTTTATCCACAGGGGATGAACCTGGAGAACAAGTCAACACATGCTAATGAACCACCCCCTCCTACTGGCTCATCTAAAACATTTCTAATAGCACTAAGAGTGGCAGGACTAGTCCTTGAATATATTTATCAGAAGAAACAGTGTGCAGTTAGAACACCTTAACCACTTTAACAAAAGATGGATCCTGAGGTGAGTCTTGTTCCACAAGTCTGTTTCTACGAGATGCAGACAGAGACAAAAAGAGTGCACATGGCTAGACCACAGTTCATTGATTTATAACCCTTCTATAATAAATAGGAAGATGATGATATAATTTGGGGGGAAGCCCCCCACCCAGTAAAGTATGTAGCTAAGTCCAATCCAGCCGTCTCTACATAGTAAAACACTGGGTGTTTAGCAGAGAATCTAACACCTAACCAGAGACACCAGCAAACCTGGGGAAAATTTAGCAGCTAAAAGCAAAGACTGCTAGCGTAGTTTGGCAGAATGCACACAGAAGAGAACAAAGATGCATTTTTAAACCACTCAGAGAATTTGGACGAAGCTAAGTAAGACTAGCTTTTAAACAAGGTGAAAAGAAACAAAAAAGTTACATGAGATCAAGGGCAGGTTAAAGAGAACTGCACTGAAGTCATCAAGACAACCTCAATGGACAATCAACAACACAAATAAGTGACAAGACACAAAAAGGGCGCTGGTAGCACCGACAGCTTGTAGAGTGCCTTGGTGCCAGACGCTGAGCACATCTGGCAACTAAGCACGTCCATATCCTTAACAGAAACAATTCCATATAATAGATAGAGGGTAAGGCAGCTACAAATCTCGATTCCATCACATACTACAGATTTTTGTTTCCAAAGAAAATTAATTAAAAAAAAGAAAAAAAATCCCTGAAACAAGCTATCATTTCCTTCTTCCCTGCATTTCAGTGTACTACCAGAAACTTTTCATCCACAAAGAAGGGAACACCAGACTCAGGAATAAAACAGGGAAACAAATTATACCACCATGAAGAATTCCAATGTGAAAACACTACGTTTTCACTGTGATGAGCACTGAATATCTAGCTTACATTCTTTCACTTTTCAGGGCACCATATTGTGCCTTAGTTTAGAGTATATATGTGCTGTGGCTGTGTAATCACTACACAAGGAACCTTCACCTAGCAGATTTCAGAGGAAATGCACATGCTTGAAAGCCTACTGACAGTTCTACATGTAGCAACTCTGACGCTGAGGGACTGTGCACACCAAAGGAAAATCAGCGGAGACACTTCAATCCCCTGTCCTCTCCAGAGCAAAGTTCTGCTCAATCCAAGTACGCTTAAGACCGCCCAGAGGCAGTGCTGGAGAGCCTCCTATTATCACTGTGGACTTTCTGTCTATTTCTAGAGAAGCATGCAAGGACTGCTGAGGTTATTTCAGGTATCACTTTAAATAGCCAGGTGGAGTGATTCTACACCGCAGTTCCTGTTGCAGAGAATCCCTGGTAAGAAGCGTTGAAGTATACAGCAAAATTCAAGCTTACAGGGAGACAGACATAGTTCATACCTTTACTATATCAGACAGTTTGCAAACTCAGGAAGACTCAATATTATATCAATTACATTGGTTATGCAAATTCTTAAGCATAAGAGGATTTTTTTTTAAACTAGAAGAAAGCGAATACTGCATAGGAAGAGCTGCAAATACTGCAGTGGGATGTTTACAGTACTTACTAATACCAAGTACACACCTCAGATTATACTATGATGCATTAAAAATGTTTGCATTTAATTTGACTTTAAAAAAGTAGAAACAGTAGCAACAGCCCACTATTAACAGTTACAAAATTTAAATTGCTCAAGCAAGCAGTGACATTCATGTAGATTAACAAAACTGCATAAAGAATAATGTTGCAAAGAATTAAAAAGTATTGTTTCAAATTAAGAACTAGAATTTACAGGGGGGGCAGGGAAAAATCAGAAAAATCTGCTATTCCCTAAAAACAGGCACTCCACAGATACTATTATTTATAAGCCATCATTTTCTCACATTTAGATCCTGGAATAACTTCCACGGAGATCTTACAGAAAGCAAATGTTTCATAGTCCTAAAAAAACAATTCTACCATGCAAGTTGTCACAAGCAGCTCAACTGGTTCCTGGGATGCCAAAGAGGGAAAATCAACATTCTCTCTCATGGAAAAGCCCTGCTTATAATACAGTTCTGTAGCGAACAGCTCTGGTACAGTTCATGTCCATCCCATCTATCATGCCTGTCTTACACCACACACTTTGTCCAAATGCCAGACCTGTGTATTATTTAATTTCCCACTTCTAGCAGAAACATAATATACAAATTTCACCTCGCTCCTTCATTCTGACCCCAAAACTCCTATGTATGCATTCTGGAGAGGGTCTCAGAAGGAAAAATAAGAGGACATGCAGAGGACCTTCAGAGAAAATAAGAAATCTTATTTCTTTGTCACAATATTACTGCTAATTCACTGCAGAAGATATTTAGCTCTCAAAAAAACTGCTGACGCACTTTAGGCTAGGAAAACATGAATGGTCTCACAAAAAGAATGTTCCACTAGGATGAAAAATTTTGTTTAGTCTATTATTCAAGACCTCCTCACCACTGTTGGAATTAAACCATCAATTTGACTGACATGCAGATGTACCACATTCCTGTAATTTCCACACAATACTCACTATACACTTTCTATGGTTTTGAAACCTAAAATAATGAACTAACGCACATTTCATAAGGACTTTCACTAAGTACAAAAGACATTTTAATCCCTGCAGAAACAATTACCTTTAGGTTTTTCTAACGCTCTCTGGCAAGTCTCTTTAATTTTGGTGAAGAGTTCTGGTCCTGCCAAGCGCTTGGAAATGCCAACTCTCAACATAACGGCACCTGGTGTGAACTTTAAGAGCGCAGCCCCAGGCTCCCGTGGTTCTTTTGGCTGCTTTGGCATAAGACTGGACCAATCTACATCTATAACATCCACAGGATCTGCAAAAACATTGACAGAGAATGAGTTATCACATCATCATCCCTTACCACAGTTGATTAATTTCACATGCTGTGTGCATCCCTGTCTCCTAAAAGCAATATATATTAGATAAACATTTTTCTGCAGTTCTCAAAGCCAGATCCTTGGATGCTTCAGGTAAGAATGTCAAAAAATCACTTAGATTGGTGGAAAAAAGGAGCATAAAAATATAAAGCTTCTTGGATTAAAAAGAACACCCCTGATATTCTGCTTCATTTTTATTGCAACCCCTTTGTGGAAGGCTGCTTGGACCCTGCTTAGCCAGCAGATTTGGACACATCACTTACCCATTCACAAAAGTCACAGTACAACTAAACGTGCTATGACAGATCCAAATTAAATGCTTAAGAAGCTAGTATTTCATCTCTGGATGCTGGATATTTTTTTTCAAAGGAGAGATACACTATTTATTGAAAAACCATACAACTGTGTTTGTCTAGTACTTTTATCATAGAAAATATGAACACTGATCATATAGCCTGGATGACCCAACTGAACTTACGACAAGTACAAGATTCCATGCTTCCCAGTGCATTTGGGAAGCATTCAAGCATGGACAAAATCTGTTCATAAAAATATCGGTTCCAAATAATGATCAAAATCAAACGGGATAAATGAAAACATGTTTACAAAAAACAAAAAGCTTACCCTTCTAGCTATATAAAACAAAATAAATATCACTTCACAATACAGCTCTCGGTAGTCTTTACTTACCTCTATATTTCTCAGGCTTACTTGACTATTACAGAACAAATGAGAAATACTGAAGAGCATATAAATTGCATTCCTAATTCAGAAATACTGTCAACATCGCAATAGCATTATATGCTAACTGACCTAATCTTTATATTCAAATAATCATAAAGGGGTTTTGCTATACTTTTACCAGGCATCTTCTCATCCTCCTGTTGATCCTCCCGCTTTTCAGCATCACCTGCCAGAATTTCATCCAGTTCATCATCACTGATTGGCTCGTATTCTCCTGCACCAGACCCCAGTGACTGTACATCATCGATCTTTGCTTCATCTTCTCCTCCTGCAGAGACAGATATATACTGTAGCTTTAAAGCAACCATTCTTGTTTCCTAAACACACTTTAAGCAGCCTGAAAACAAAGAGGTTCAGCAAACTAAAATGGTAGCTTCTGGGGACAAGTATACTCAATATGAAAGCAGGTATTAACTCATGGAAACAGAAGTTATTTCTCCCATACATAATGTGGCAATTTGAATTTTACATATCTCAGTCATTTTTTTTGGTGCAGTATTAGTCAAACTGCACACAGAAGGCTGTATTCAGAAGAAACATATGTTGATTATCTGATATCTGATATGTAGTTAATGATACAAATCTCAGTTAGTGCCACAAAGCCTTTCAGATACTTTTGCACATGAATCCAAACTCAGGATTCAGTCCAAAGGCTCTACAAGAGAAAGAAGTAACAAAACCCCAAAATACAAGATGGTGCAAGATATCCCGAATGAAGGAATTATTCACAGAGTTTTAGACTCTTTGTGGAAGTCACAAGAAGAGCTTTTAGAAAGCCATGCCAAACTTCTTCAGCTGTTGTTACACTCCTATCCATCCACATACTATATGCATATACAAATACCTGTGCTGTATGTGTAAACATGTTCCTTAAAACCTGTAAACATAAGACACTCAAACATTGCATTCTGCAGTTCATGAGAGGAACATCTGAAGTTATTCTCTCACCTCCAAGACTGACAGATCAATATATATATACAGACACATATACAGACACACATACATACATATAAATACATACACTATTCAAGCATTCAGAAACCCTATTGCTCTAAACTCAGGCTTTCTTACAGTTCTCCGCCATGGTACTTGCAATGAATTGCGCCATAGAAACTAGACAGAATTTACAGGGGTGCTCCCCTGTGGATGATTATTCTAGTATTTTCCAGCTCCTTTATCCAGAAGGGAGACCGCCTCTGTTTTAAGTTGCCCCCATTTTCTTTTCTTTTTTTTTTTTCTTGCTTGCCTTTCTAAAAGCAAGGGGAAGAAGAAAAAAAAAAAAAATCACCTCAACTAACCTAAAAATCAGCATGGAAAAAGCAAGTAAAAGACATGCTAGCAGAGTATAGATTAAATACTCGGTGCATTGGGGGAAGCATATAGCATCTTGGGCATTATTTAAGCCCATTCCTAGAACACACACATTAGGGTTCCAGACATTACAATAATTCAGTAGTTATATCCTCACGCATTTTGTTAGACAACATACTACAGTAATTTGTCCAAGTAAATACCAGATACCCCCTTAACATCATCAGATTTGGAAACTGTATTTAGTTTTCTACAAAGATTTTCCTTTTAAAAAGGAAAATAAGGCGATCTCTACTAGATTTCATTTTGTGTCATATGATTTTAAATATTTAAATGCCTGTATGATACATCATCTGCCTCCACACTGATCTACCAGATACACTAGCTCACCATAACTACGTGCTTGGATAGCACAGATGAACCATTAAAAAAAACATTGCTGTATGAAGCAATTAAAAATAGTAATAATGCATAGTTCTCAATACACAAGTAAAAAAGATTACTTTCTCAATTTTGAATTTCAAATCAAAGTTCAATAATTTCTAGATTATAATCTGATGACTACCTTTACTGCTTTTTCACACAAATGTACTTTTATATTAATTCTGCATTAAAAACACGACACACTAGTCAGCTAAAAGGAGCAACGTAAACAGGAATAATAACGTAGTGAAAGACAACAAAGTACACTAAAGCTTCGAATATCATAAACATGCTATTTATAGTATGCTTTAATAAAATGGAATGCCATCTAATATTTTACAGAAGACCTTTTTCTAAAAAAATGCTACTAAATATACCATAACTTCCTACAGATCATAGAATCATAGAATCGTTTAGGTTGGAAAAGACCTTTAAGATCATCCAGTCCAACCATTAACCTACACTACCAAGTCCACACTAAACCAATCAAGGGTAGACTAGACTAAACCATGTCCCGAAGATTATAATATTCAGAGAATTTAGAACACAACCTTCGAAAAAAACACAAAAGAATACACATTAAAACACTTACAAGAAGTCTGCTGAAAGGCTAGACCTAAGAACACATTTAACATCTACAGCCTGTTCAGTTACAGGTGCTTTCGGAAACAGATAATGTACCTAGGAATAACCTTTCACCAACTCTTTTCTGAAGTTGCCACACTGTACTCTTGATTTATTGCACCATTCCTTCCTCTAGCTTAAAAATCGCTGAATTCTGTCCATTACAGCAAGACAGAACAGACTTTCCCATGCTCACTTCAAATACTATCTTTGACAAGTGCTTCCACTCCACAGATAATCTCCTTAAATGGAACTTTCTCAACTGTACCAGTCAACCCTAATGACCACTTTGCGAGTAATCAGGTAAAAGATGTAAGTAGTAATAAATATTCTTCATCATCCTCTCCAGACAACATTTGATTTAATGGCCCAAATTAACAACGAACACTACAGATAATTCTTATTAAGAATTCAAATATGATGAGACAATGTCCTCTTATCTTGTGTTAAACTACGAAAGCTTAATTCATTTGTTTCTCTCTCTGCTTCTGAAGACTATGGACTTTAGGCCTTACCATCCCAAACATCCAAAATTTCCAAATCCTACAATACCTTTTTTCCTCTCAACAGATTTTAGAGAAGAAAACTCCTGCAAATCACCAAAGACACCCCAACTTACTGAACATAACCATAACGTACACCAGTTACTCTGGATTTAGACTCTTGCTTCTTTAACATTGTTGATAAACATTGTAAGTACTTCCCAAACTCCCTCCCTATCCATACAAAGCTCAAGCTGTCTAATCCAGTGTTTGTCCCTTTATTTATTTATTTATAATCCTAAGCACATTTTCCCCAGTACCATTAGGGCCAGCAAATTGAAGCCACATTTAATAACATTACCTTGGGAACGCCGTTTTTGGACTGTTGTGCCAAGCCATACATATGTTTTACCTACTAATCAGACAATCATTTCTATGATAATTGGGCTCTGCAGAAAAAAATCCCACAGAACAGTTCCAATTCAACATTCATGTTTTTCACTCGTTACCTGTCACTTCCAAACTGAGAAATAAATCTTACAATGATCTAACAAGGCAATCAAATGTTGGTGTTATTCTTTAGCAAACTACCTATTCAGAAATGTTACACCTTGGCGAAATTATACCTCAGATCATTTACATTTCTTTGCCTCAAGACTTTAATAAACAACACTAACATTAACACAATTTACACTAAGAAGATGCTCACCAGAATTCTCTCTTATTGTGTCTGCTTCCACAATAGAGAAGCTGGAGCCAATACACCTTTCAGTAGAAAATTATTCTAATATAGCTCAGTTCAGCACTACACTAAAAGGGAAAGAATAAAATATTTGACAGTCCAGGTTCTCTCCCAGAATATCTCACCTTCTAAACTCTCTACCTTTTCGGTGTCATTCCCGTCTTCAAAACTTTGTAAAGGTCCTAAATCTTTGTCTGTTCGTTCCTTCTCAGAAGCCACTGAATCGCGACAAACACCATCGAATTCCTTTTCGTGATCTCTGTCCAGTTTCGTTTCACTGTGTTTTGTTGATTCTTTTTGAGAGGAGATGTCAAGAGTTCTGTCTCTCTCTCTTTCAGCAGTATCAGGTAGTTGTCTGTCTCTCTCTCTGTCCAGCTCCCGTCTTTTCTCCCTCTCCCTCTCTCGTTCTCTGAGTCTCTCTCGTTCCCTGCTCCTCGGCCAGTCTTTGTCAACATCTCGGTCCCAGTCTCTCTGTCTTCCCTCTCTCCTGTCTCTCTCTCGTTCTCGATCATGTTCATGTCGATCTCGCTCCTGAAGCCTTTCCCTGCTGTCAAAGGACCCAGATCTCGAATGGACCTGACGATCTGATTCAGGAGAACTTCTTCTTGAACTGTGGCTTCTTGAATCTTGACGATCTGAATGAAATATTTTAAATATATGCATGACTACAGCACATAAATGTAATGCCATTTTACTAGACCAAAGCATTTTAAAGATTCAGGTATGAAAATGTTCTTCTCAAAAGCATCACCTTCAAATTAATAATGCCTTCAGATTGCCTATAGATTTAACCTTAAAACATAAGGTACTTCTCCCACTCCCCAAAAAGATTTTTAGTGGCTACTTTCTACTATGACAAAAGCCAAACTGAAGGTACATCATTTTAACTCAGAAATTTGAGGGGGGAAGAAGAACCTTTATCTCAAAATTCAAAATTTTCAAAACATGTCTTCTAAAAACTAGGAATGCCTTGGCTAGCAAATGATGAATTCAGAAAACTAATTTCAGGCATGTAACCATGGGGAGAACAGAGAGCTGAAGTGCTTTAGGAGGAAGATATTTTTCTACTGATGCTGTTTAAATTTTAATACATTTTACCCATTTTTTTTTCCCAGGAACTACACAAAATAAAACAAGTCAATTGTGATTATTTTGATTTGCAACAAACATGATTTCCATATGCATTAAAAGTATGCCTAACAGGAACCATGACAGATTTACCTCAGTGAAAATAGCTCCTGAGATGATAATGGATCTCTCTCCTAGAGAGAAGAGACATTTTCATTTTGCACAGATTTCAGAATTACCATATCAAAATGAATGCTAATAATGAATTTAAGAACATTATTTAGATGATAAAACCACCTCAACATTCTGTTAGCACAAGCATTTTCTCTTTGTACAAGTTTTTTGTCCTACAAATTACTTCATTCCCCAGGCAGCATGAACTATATCTGACTGAATGTTTTGGTGTAAACGAAGTGGTAATCCTTCCCGCTGAGGATCAGCTTTTCAAATATGGTAACACTTGCAGGAATCTTAATTCACTCTGGTTTTACAGTGAGTGGCAGAGAGCACCTCCCTCTCCCTTCACACTAATTACAAATGCAAAGAGTATACAGACATGTAAGAATTATTTGGAATTTGTACCTTCGCACCTTTATAGAGAATGATAGGCCAGTCTCATTAAAATATGTCTTATTACCTGAAGATGTGCTGCGACTGGGTTCCCCTCGTTTCAACTGATCAATTCTGGACTTCCGCTCTCCAGTGATTTCTAAGCTTTTCTTCTCCCTGTCCCTGTCTCTAGAGCTACTGTGCAGGATCCTCTTCCGTCCAGTCTGGTCATCTCCACTGCGATGAGCTGACTCATTGGAAGGGGATCTAAGTCTACTTGAGGCATGGCTCCGATTGCTACCAAGGCTGCTGCTGCGCTTCTGATCCACGGGTTTACGGTGTGGTCCATCGTCTATAGTAACATGAGGGACTTCCACTTTTTCACCCCTCGTCCTGTGACTTTTTCTATGGGAGTCCTCAGTGCTTCTTTCTGGAACAACAATGTCACCGCGTTCAGGAACATCTTCATCTGACCAGTCACTAAATGTTGTATCTTCTCTTTTTGGGGGGACTTCTGCCACAGCTTTCTCAGGTGGTGCTTCAACCAATTCTTCTTTTGTTACAGGGGGAGTTCTTGGGCCTTTCTTCTTTTTATGATGTGGAACAATTTCTTCATCGGAAACTTCAGAATCACCCTTGGACCTCTTCCGCTTTTTCTCTACATTTTTCTTTTTTTGACCTTTCTTGGGTGAAAAGACCTGGCTTTCCTCAGTTGTTGATTCATTAGCATACCTTTCCACCCCACTGTCATCATCTTTCTTCTTCTTTGTGGCCTTTTTCTGTACTTTAGACTTCTTCTTACTGTCATCATGCATTCTATCAGAAGCATCTCTTTCTTCAGAAGGACGGTGTCCAAGATTTTCCTGAACCCTGGACCGGGAGCCTTCTGAAGCATCTGGCTGCTCTCTTTGCTTATCTGCTGAAGAAACCCTCTCTTTAAACTCTGGTTCTTCATAACGCCGGGAGCTTTCCTTTCTGTCCGATTTTCGCTCTTCTTCTTTCCAGCGACTCTGCCGCTCTTCTGTAACGTGAGAGGGACTCAGTGACCGGGATTCCTGTGGCCGCACAACCTGGCTCAGAAGTCTGTGCTTTTCATCTACAAAATGGGAAAAAGGATGTACTTGTATTGTTTAGGAAGGAGAACAGGTGAACATTTGGTATCTTGTGCATGCCAAAAAGTGCCAATCAAAACACATAATTCATTATTTCAGTTACATCTCAAGTTCTGCTGCTGCTGCAGCAGCAACAGACTATTTCCATTTTGGTAAACATGCACCTTAAACAACAGATGTGGAAGTCACTATCACCTGGCAGACGTAACATATAGTGACAAAATGAAGACAAAAAGACAAACATATAGATTAAGAACAATGATGTTGCTCATAAAAATAAGGGGAGAAGGACACATAAAAGCTTCCCCATGTTTTTTCTATTTAAGATTGCAAATTATTTTTCATAGGCAGAGGGTAAGCTGGATCCCACTGCAGAGATAGCCAACTCCTACTTACTTTTATCCTCTCCACTGTTGTAAGCATCACTATCAGGAGAGTGCTCACGGCGACGTTTGGGTGATGGACGAGGACTTGGACTACTTTCATTTCTGTGACGCTTCCTTCAAAACAAACATGTACAGTCAAATTTCTTCAGGATTCTTTAAAGAAAACATTCAATTATTGAGTTTATCATCAATACAGTCCCTGAAGTCTAAACACTTCATAGAGAAGACAATACATCTAAGGATGCCAGGAAGTTTTGTAGTTTTCTAAGCTGTTATTCCATAACTTCAAATATGATCAGTTTTCTGATCATACTGTAAGATACCTTAAACTAAAACTCTAACATTTAAGACAACTATCTTTTTAGCAAAAAGTTATGAACGACTATTAAGGTCAATTTTTTCCCTGTGGCAATGGATCCTTGCAGCGGGTTGACCGCAGCTGGCAGCTAAGCCCCTACCTAGACACTTGCTCACTTCTCCCCCAGTGGAATGGGGGAGAGCCCATACTAGATGATTTATAGGAATCCAATTCTCTCACACAAAAGCAACTAATTACTGCCAAGCAAAGCAACCATTCAGGGCAACACTGTTTTGCTTATTATTGATGGAACAACAAGAATTTTATTGTACTAAATGAAAAAAAAGAAAAAGAGTCAGTGCTACACACTTAAAGGAAGCACCACACACTTAACTTGGGATATTGTTCACACCTTCACTGGTAGCCTTCTGGTATTGAAAATTTAGTAGTGCAAAGGGTAATGTACGTTCCACAGAAATTTAATGAATAAAGGTATGAACCCTGACCTAGTTAGCTGTTATCTGACTTTCCAGGCTTCAAAAGATACCACAGTCCGCTATTTTACTTCCAAGAATGCCGGCATCATTAAAGACAAGGCCACGCAAGTATACTTAGTCAGATATGGTCTGACTCAATTGTTAGTTTCTGAGCAGTTCCACAACTCTGCGCTAACAAAGCATCAGATTAACTTCACTAGCCCAGTACTGATTTTGGGGCCACCAGTATGTGCCACACAGATGCAGGGTAGACAGGGCTCAAGACCACACCTCTGCATAAACAGGGTATCTTCCCCCTTATGATACTCCCCTACTTACAAACTTACTGAAATCAACAGTAAAAGACTGCCTTTTTTTTCTTTTTCTTTTTTTTTTTTTTTAACCAAAGTAACATTCAAATCAACTCACTTGGATTTTCTTTCCTCATGGACATCTCTTGAACTTCTTTCTTCTCGGATATCTTCTCTCTTATCCCTGCGGTCTTCCCTTCCTTTTTCTTTGTCATCCCAGTCTCTCTGGCGGTCTCTTTCTTTATCCCTGTCCCGACCTCTCTCCCTTTCTCGTTCCCGCTCTCGATCTCTTTCACGCTCTCGCTCCCTTTCTCGTTCCTCCCGCTCTCGCTCTCGCTCCTTCTCCCTCTCCCTCTCTCGTTCCCTTTCCCTGTCATGGTCCCTGTCTCGGTCACGCTCGCGGTCCCTGTCTTTGTCCCGCTCTCTCTCCCTCTCCCTCTCCCTCTCCCGAGCACGATCTCGTTCCAACTCTCTTTCCTTCTCCCTCTCTCTTTCCCGGTCTCGCTCTCTCTCCCTCTCTCGGTCCCTCTCCCTTTCTCGCTCTCTCTCCCGGGCCCTTTCATCTCTCCTATCATCAGACCGATCTACCCTTCGCTCTTCTCTTCTTTCATCCCGCTCGAGGTCATCGCTTCGTCCTTGATGTCGTACCGGGGAGCTTGCTCTCTGATCTGTGAAGAGAGGCAGGTTTGACTAGGAAGTGCTAAAGGGACATACACCACTTCTACTACACTGATAAAAATCCAAGAGCTTTTGCTTTCAAAATCTAGATATCGGTTTGCATTAAATGAAAAGCAACTCCCTGCAGAAACTTGGAAATTCTCTTTGGGGAAGGAAAAATACAAAAAGCAACTAACTTTGAAAGATTTTTTCAATATTTAGGCAGTGGGCTTTCCTTATTTTAGCCAAAAGTTACTACAAAAATTTTATTTTCTACCAGACTTTTCTGAATGGCTTCAAAAGATAATTATACACCTCACAGCCTAGCTATTACTATTGCATTACTCAATGATTCAAAATCTGGTACAAGGTCTTGAAAAAGCTCTGAATGACATACATATGAAAATGAAATGTTAAGACTTCTGTACGAAAATTTTACTTCCTAAAGCTATTAAGCGTCACGGGCTTTACAAGAACGCACACCATTTATAATACATAGTAAAACTTACTGCAAAGAGAGAAATACTAACCTGCCTTATCACAGAAGAGATCCCTGCACAGAAATACACAACCAAATCCATAAGAAAGGGAGAGGCAAGGATGCAATACAGCAAGCGGAACTACTGGCAGTTTCCATATGTATTCACTACAGAGCCTTACAGTTTTAAAAGCTGAGTTTTTCAATGTTCAGACAGTAAGTTTATATAGAAAATGACTGATCCAGAAGGACAGTGAAACCTGATTTATCTAACAATATTTACTCCCCACAGACTTAGCTGCATAGTTAGTTATATTTTTGATATTTTAAAAAATATTTCTATAAATTTTGACCACTTTATAACAACTTCTTTGCTGATGTTAGTAGTATTTGAATCACAACAAATCAATAAAACTATTTTTCTGCAATATATATTAAAAGCACTATACAAAGGAGAAAAAAATGGCACAGAGGTTGGTATTTTTCGGTCCATTACTCTGAGGCTGAGTGCGCACTTTGCTGTAAATTGAGACAATGTCCACCAGGGGTGAGCAGGGAGAGTTTGAGCAGGACTAAATCAATAAGACATGCATTTCCATCAGTTTAATCTATTTTCATCTCCAAGTGAATTAACAATGACTTAATGCTCCCCTGTTACCAGGTAAAATTAAAAGCAAACTTGAGTGACGTTTCTGCCACAGATGTAACACTTCTTTTTTAAAAAGGCAAATCATCAGTCCATGCAGTTGGTTCCATGAAAAGGTTTCACACTCTTTTAAAGGTGCCTATAACATTAGTATGCATGATAAATCATGTTATAAGTATTAGATTTTATACAGAAGTTCTATAACTCCTGTTTGTTATGTCAGTTTTGGTGACAAAACATCTACATGAAACGCTTACATGAATCAAGATACTGGAAGTGTATTAGACAATTAAACATGGATAGTCAGCACTTCTTACGTGAGTTTATTATTTGAAGTGCTGTTCCGGTGGTTGTTTGGAACACCTACATATTTGCCTTAACTGAACAAAGCCCAAATTTCCAAGCTTACATTTTAAAATCACACTAAAAAGATTCCTTACATATCATAGAACAAAGTATCTACCAAAATCTATTTCCATTTTTCCCTGAATGACAAATGTTAAAACTGTAGTCTAATTATGGAAACTACGTCTTGAGTTGTAACTCTGAGGAGGATTTACTATTACAAAAAGCAATCTAAATTTTTAAGGGAGAAACAACAAATCTTATCTCCATTCAAGCTCTTTACATTTTTCCCCCCAAAGGGAAACACAAGCCATTCAAAGCAACTTCCCTTCTAGAAATTTATCTTGTTGTGATGACACATTTTTACTTCTAAGGGTTGTCTTT